CAACTTCAGAAAGGTTTTATTTTTCATCTTAAATTAGCAGGACTCTGGCTGCTTTCCTGTCCCTGGCCTCTGAGAATTTTTAAAATGTTGAGAACAAGAGTAAGATCACTACTTCATCTGTGAGCCTGTCCCCAGAACTGCGGGCAGTTCCCGGAAGAGTGGTGACAGACAGACCCGGGCGCGTTCCTGAATGAGGACAGGGACGTGTGTTAGGAGCTGTGTCCTCTGCAACCTGGGGACAGTGCTTACTCTGGAGAACATGACTCAGAGCCCATGGTTGGCCGTAACCCTGGCCAGGCCAGTCACTTATTCTGCAACCTGGGATCAGTCATAGATTTTCATGGTCTTTATTTACCTCCTTCCTAATGTGAAAGAAATGGACAGAATGGGACTTTTCCAAAGCATATGTTTTTAGCTATGTAATCCTTTTTCAAACAAAAGTTCATCTGGAAACCCAGGAAATAAATTAGATGAGCTGAAATTTCTCTGGTGGAAGTTGGGGCAGAGCCAGAGTCAGCCCTATTTTTTCTAATCCCTCACCAGTCCCCAAGAAGCCTCATTATTCTGTGTATGAACTTGAAAACAATTGGACTAACGATGATCTGAAGGCTCCCTCTAGCTTCCGTACAGTCTGTGCCTGTGTTCTCAGGGGAGCAGGGCTTGGAGTATCAGAAAGCTACCATTGGGGAGAAGAATTTGACTACTAAAGGCAATTTTATCTTTGACCCCAATGGTTGATTATTATGTTGTTGAGCACTCTCCTAGTCGTGTCCAACTTTTTGCGACCCCATGGACTATAGCACGCCAAGCCTCTCTGTCCCTTACCATCTCCTGAAGTTTGCCCAAGTTCAAGTCCATTGCATTGGTGATGTCACCAGCCATTTCATTCTCAAAGCAGAAGTGGTTATTAGGAAACCTAAAAAGGTTTAAGTAGGCATCCTCACTGCTGATTTATTTTGAAAGATTTAAATGCATGTTGTTTTGTTTTGTTTTGTTTTTTTTTTTGCTCTGTCATTAAACATACCTTAAACTAGACTTATCCTCTTTCATTTGGAACAGAGTAGAAAGATTTTTATTTTCTTTTGGTTTTTGACTTTTGACTAGGTTTATAGAGGTGTGATGTATGTAGTTACAAACTAGTCCAACTCCCTTTGCCAAAGTAAACAAATGATTTTAGAAGAGATGAACATTGAAAGTGGGCAAAAACAAACCATTAAGATTTTCAAATGTCAATGGGAGGACTTCCCTGGTGGCCCAGTGGTTAAGACTTTGCCTTTCGATACAGCGAGTATGGATTCAATCCCTGGTCAGGGAGCTATGATCCCACATGACTCTTGGCCAAAATACTAAAACGTAACACAGAAGCATAAAACCGTAAAAAATTCAATAAAGACTTTAAAAATAGTCTTCATCAAAAAAAATCTTAAAAAAAAAGTCAATAGAAAAGTCTTTGGAATTATTGGCTTCCACGAGACCATAAATAAATGTGATCATTATTTATTAAAGATTAGATATGAATGTTTTACTGTTGGTGAATTGTTAACTAGACAGGGTAGTACAGAATGTTAAGTTGAATTTACAGTTTCCCAAATTATACTGGAGATTTGAATCAGAGACAGTGGTTTGAAGTAGTATTCTCATTCTCATTAAGATGTGGCATATTCTCTTCTCACTAACTTTGAATAAAGCTTCCAAAGAGAATACAGCTTTCAAACTGGTTGCTAGTGGTACACTCTGAAAGATGCAGGTGATACAGAATGATGTGGTAACATCTCCAGGGCAAGTATTCTAGGTATTTATCAATTTTCCTACCCTCTAACAACAAAAAATCCCATATAAAATGTAGCCTGCTATGTATAGCACAGTCAATAAATAGCCTTCTTTCTCTAGGGGTGAAGCTACAAGTGGAATGTTTTGCCATCACTATGGTCATATGTCACTTGTGAGACAAATGATAATTAATGTGAAAATTATAAAAATACAGACTATGGTCACTCGTGATTTAACTTAATGTTTGGTGCTCCTTATAATGAGACAAAAGTAGAATCTCCTCATTCTGCAGTAATTTTTTTTTTCATTTTAGACTGTATCATTGCAACTTTTTCAAAGGCACAGAAAGACTGGAATACCCCATTTCCTGCAGTTTATTTGTATCAAATGAGACAGGAAAGAGAAATGCCTATTATTTTGGCAGAGAGTAAGGAATATTTTTTAATACCCTATAGGCTAGTCCCGTAGGCTGGGTAAGACTGAGAGTTAGGGCAGATGAAATAGACAAAAGCAGGAGAGGAGGGAAATAGCAAATCCATGGCTGTCCGCTTCTTGGCTGTGGAAAAGGTGATGTAGAAGCTGTCTGATGACAACCACTAAGCACATTCTGCCCTGAATTAGTTCCTCTTTATTTGAAAATGTTCACACAAATAACAGCATTGATACTGCTTAATTGTACACAGAGTGATGTGGAGAAGGCTTAAGGATATTGCGGTTTAGCCTCTTGATCACTCCTCACTCTAACACAGTAATGAACAGGTGGACCTGAGTTCAAGACCCTGTTCCCCTGACCACAAGCTGCAACTCTGAGAAAAAATGCTTTCTCTCTAAGCTTAGTCTTTGTATATGTTAAAGAAGGGTTGATAATACCCTTCTTCCAAGCAGTTACCTACTAAGGCTGTTATGAGGAAACACAGCACTTAAGAATGCTTATCTTAGTCCCTGGTACAAAATAACTGCTTGAAAAATATTAGCCCAATTTTGGGGTGCTGGTGGCAAATATGAAGGGTCAGCATCCAGCAGTGATGAGGATAAGCTTAAGTTCAGGTGATGGGTTTCCATGTACCAGCTACCCTGTTTCTGTCCAGCTTATTGCTTGATGTGGGGAGTTCAGTTTATTGAAATTTCATTTAAAGTCCTTTTTGGCAAGTAGTGGCCCAAAAAAGAGGAAAGGAAAAGAAAGGAAAAAATGAAGGAAGGAAGGAAGGGAGAAAGAAAAAGAAGAGAAGAAAGAAAAAGAAAAGAAAAAGAGTTGATAGAAATTTTAGGTGGCCCTGTTATCTCTTAACTCTTCTGATGTAGATAGAGCAGGTATTATTCGACCATTGAACAGATATAGAAGTTAGTTTGGTGATTGGCCTAGGATCACTGGTGAGTTACAATGGGGCCAGAACAAGAAAGGAGTTGGGTCTATTACAGACAAAAAAATGAACTTGTGGTTGCTGGACGGAAGAATGGGAGAAAGGGATAGTTAAGGAGTTTGGGACGGACATGTAAAAATGGATAACCTGAAACAAGGATTTACTTATAGCACATGAAACTCTGCTTAATGCTATGTGGCAGCCTAGATGAGAGGGGAGAAGGTTGGGGGAGAATGGATTCATGTATAAGTATGGCTGAATCCCTGCACTGTTTGCCTGTAACTGTTACAACATTGTTAATTGGCTGTAAACTAATACAAAATAAAAATTTAAAAAGAAGTGGGGTCTAAAGTGTCAGATGGCAACTCCAATCTGAGGATGGAACACTGCTCTACACAGTGGGCATGAGATTGGGGGAGCAGTTTGCCATGATGGTGGTCCCTTCACTGCAGCCTTTGCAGAGACAGGTACTAGCCATTGACTAGGTCTCTCTGTGAAGGAGATGAATGGTGGAGAATCTCATGAAAACATCATGTGACTCAGAAAAATGATTCTTCTGAAATCAGTAGTACAAGCCTCCCCTTTCTCCCATATAGTCTTCCGTATTTAGGCTTTTTGCACAGACTTACTTTTTATACTGCTAGATTCATGTTTTGGATTACCCCCACTATTATCTCAGGCCTGGAGATGGCCTTGACACCTTCTCTGATTTAATGATTTGCCTGAGCTGTTTAATATTCTTGAGGGAGTTTTAGAATCCTGGCCATGGTCTGTGACTCAGACTGCTTGTGTCCAGGCCCCAGCTGCGTCACTTACTAGTGGAATGACCTTGGACAGTATCTTTTACTTCTCTCTGTTGCAGCTGCCTCATCTTTCTGATAGAGGTGGTAATGGTACCTGCCCCAGAGGGTTATTAGAAATAAATGAGAGATTCTTTGTTCAATACCTGCAAAGAGTGAGCCCCCTGTAAGTGTTAGCCATGAATGATAATAAGGCTGTTCTATTTGCAGTTTATGAAACTGTGATATATCATATCCATATGTTATAGACATTGTTATTATCTTTGTAAAGTCTATAAAACTTCATTTCCAGTCACAAAAATAATGACATGTTATCCACTTGGAAATCATCAGCAGAAACTGGCTTGAGTAGCACAGAGGTCGTTGTATGTCGTAAAGACCATACATATCCAGACGAAGCCACCATCAGATTGCTTTCTGTTTAAGTGGTGGTGAGCTGCAAGTTCTTTTAGTTCTTTTTTTTTTTTCCGCATTTGCCAAATGAAATTTGGTTCCACCTTCAAAGTCAAAAGTGTCCAAGAAAGGTCACAAAGTGAGGATCACACTTCCACTCTAGAACCTTTCTACAGAACACCAAACCTTAGAATCAGGCTGTGCACAACTAAAAAGGAAAAATAGGCTGGGACACCTCAGACCATGTCCAAGTTCAGTTCAAAACGTAAGTGGTAGCGTGGAACTTTCCAAACTCGGTAAATGAAGTGACCGTGTCTCCCCTAGTAAGTGCAGTGTTCTCCACTGGCCTCGTAGACACGGCCTGGCGCCAGTACGGCTTCAGCAAGAAACTTCGGCCACTTCCTTACACCCTGCTGGTCCCAGCTCTGTGGGAAGTCGGGTTACGGTGGGTTGCACCGCTGCCCCCGCCCCCTCGAAATCCACCCTAGAAACTACAGCCTCGGAGGAACGTCCCTGACACCCCGAAGGTCTCTGTGTTGAGCTTCCTCTCCTCAGCCCACGTCGTCTGGCTGGAACTGGTCTTGAGTTCAGAGGAGATGTTATCAAAGAAGGACTTGGACTTGTCATAGTAGCAGTGGGACCCCAAGAGGTCCTCCTCAGCAGGCGCCCCGTCACTCTAGGTCACCACGTCCAGGTCCTTCTCTTCCCCTTTCTCAGCTTTGTCGTCTTTAAAATTCAGTTTCTTCTTAAATTCCTTGTCCAGCTCTTCTCGGCTGAAGTGGATGTTTGCCCTCTCAAAATCAAAGTCGCCTTCAAACTTGATGGTGTTTTCCTTGGTGTTAGTTGGACAGCTTTTTCATCTGTTCGCTGAGCGCCTCCTCTGAGGTCTTCTGCTCTCTGTTGTTCACCTGCCCTTGAGTTTGCCCGGCTGCTCTGAGCTCCATCGGTGGTGGCCTTGTGGCCGGGTGGGGCCGGGCGCCCATTGAGCTGCATGCCCACGGAGCCCTCGCCAGGTAACAGCTTCTTGGAGTTCAAGTTATCAAGAGATCCAGGCTGGACAGCCTGCCCCACCATGGGGCTCTTGCCGACTGAGACAGACGGAAAGCTGGCTCCTAAACCCAAGGAGGCCGGCATCCTGCTGGCTAAGCAGGGAGCTGGCCACCAGCTGGCGGTAAGGTGGCATCCCTCGGGCTGTAAGGCACCTGTGGCTGGAAGGGGGAGCCCAACCTGAGCCCAGGGAAGATTGAAGGACAGCAGGATCCTGAGGGAGTGTGTGCTGAGCTTTTGGAGGTTCACACATAGTAATATCTTTGAGATCACTTCCCTGGAAGATGATGTACTCATCCATCTCCTCTCTGGGGGGGCAGGCCTTTCTGTGGGACGGTCTTCAGTACCAAAGGACCTTACTTTGGCGAGCGCCACGGTGGCATTGTCCCTGTTGATGGTGTAGAGGATGCCCTTGTAGTGGATCTGCGCCTTGGAGATGAGGCTGATCCTGCTGCCCAGGTTTGGGGTGCCTGAGGAGCCATTCATGGCGGTGGTCGCCCAGCCAGGCCCGGCCCACTCACCTTTGCGTGGTGGCCTCATTGCCCTCTCCTCGTGGCCTCGGTGCCACCTTACTGCCACCCAAGGGCCTGTCCAGGGACCAGGCCTCTTTTAGTTCTTGACATTGTTCTTTCCCATGGAGTCACATAGCTGAGCTTGGGTTGGGCCAATTATCTGGACTTATAACCAAATAACATTGGGACCCAAGTTCAAGGGAAATGACAAATCAGTCTTAACTTTTTTCTTTGCTGTGCTTTTCTCATTAGGGTCTAGAGGGGTCTTCTTCCTTATTGAATATGACCTTTTGAGAAATTTAGTTTCCATCTTTCCCAATAGAATCATTCTTCTTAGGGAATTAAATTTGCTTCAAGTTTCTGTCTCTTATGCTTAGTTTAAAAGATGAGGCCAGGGCCCTGTGGGTGTTTTGTTATTGATATCTGCTATTTTTTACTCTCTGCTCTGTCATGAAATTGTATTATGGTAGGCGGCATCTCCTAGGCCCGGTGTTTTAACATAATTTGCCTTAAGATGTGTTGTTTGCCTAGAAACACGCAGTATCTATGTTCCAAGCTTAGCATCACTGGGGACCAGACTTGACTTGCAAACAGAACCAGACACTGAGGCCTATGGTAGCCCTCCAGATAACAGGACGGAATGTTGCTGGTCAGAATTCTCCTCCTTACCCATTCTGTGTGGCCTTGGCAAGTTCCCGAATTACTCTGGCTCTAAGGTTGCTCTCTGATCTCCACATTCGTTACTAGCCCTCTGCTTCCTTAGTGCAGTTTCCAAACTCAGTTTTGTGGTCAGTTAATCTTAGTGTTGGGGTTGGGCATTCTCTCATCAAATACATTTAGAAAATGCATCTTACCTTATTTTTCTCTCAAAGAGTTACAAGGCACACATGCTTATCAACGTCTCTGAGAAGCTCCCTGTTGAACAATGCTTAATGAAGCATTTCTCAAATTTAGGTGAATATGTAATTTAAGTTAGTTTTTTTATTGATTGATTTTGGTTTCCTGGGAAGACTTCTGAAGAGCATCATTTGGGAAAGATTTCTGCTGCAGCTTCCTCAGGTGACTGAGTTATGTAAGGTAAAGAACACAGTAGTGTCTCTGATTTTAGAATGACATTGTAGGTGTACCATTGCCTTTTAATTGGAAGACAGTTGTGTAAACAGTTTATAAGCAATAGGTGTCTGCATTCTGATAAACTGCCAGAGTATCTCTGATTCAGCTAACAGAAGTCAAATTTGGAGGCCCACGACCAGGAAGGAACTACTTTATTGGCTAACTCTTCAAAAAGTCAAAGTTTCCATGTTGAATCATGTCCCAACTCCTCTTGTGGCTGTCCTGCCTTATAAAAGGCAGGGAACACAGGCAAGTAGCTAGAATCCTGTTTTAGCTTCAGAAAAGTGCTACAGCACTACACATGGCTTCTTCTCCTCCCTTTCATTTAAAATCAGTTAGGGATTATAATATGAGATTTCACAGAAATAGGAAAAGCTAGCTTTCATTAGAATTGAAATGAAAACTAATGAGAAAAAAAATGCAACTATAAAAGACTTCTGTTCTATCCTTATGGTTACAATCCTGAGACACTAACACAAAAGGCATTAGGGCTAAACTCTGAAATCAGTCATGAGCATGCTGGGCATTAGGCGTAATCAGAAGATTTCAGTAAATGCAACTGGCCTTTTGGCAGCAGCTAACATATGACAGCTCTGCAAATGCCAAGCATTTTATCAACGAGTGGTCCAGTTGTGATCTTTTGCCTGGCGCCTGGTGCTTTGGCCAAGTTAGGAGGATGTTATCAGGGGCGCAGAGCTCCAGGCGGTGGCCTGGACTCAAGGAAGGGAGGGTGGGGTGACCCCAGAGTATGACCCAAAGCCATTTCAAAACAAATAAAAAAACCCACCTAGATGGAGAAAAAAGTAAGCTGAGAATGTTCAATTAATCAAGCTTTATATTTAAACAATGTGATCATGTAGTCATTCCTTTCAATGGGTAGATTATGTGCCTTATGTTAAATTACTATTTCGGAATGGGTGCGGGAGTTTGTGTCTCTTGCAGGAATTAAATGATCTGCTCTCACATTGAAAATAATTATGCTAGTTTCCTTCTATGTCTTAGCCTATAAATGCATCTGATGCTGGGGATATTTGTCCTAAGTATCTTTTCCCATTTAAACTGTCTTCATAAAATTTCTAATTTGCAAAAGCCTTGGTGTTCAAAAATAACTGGGAGAAAAATTGGACTGTGTGTGGCGGGTAATCCAGCCGTGCATCAGGGCATTACTGACTACTAAAGGAAAAAAATGCCTCTTTCCTGAACCTCACCGGATGGGGCCATTGTTTTCAGACAGCCTTTACCTAATACAAAAGGACTCAAAGTCCATGACTGGCCTCAGACCAGTATTTTGTCTGGGAACAGCATCCAAAGCCATGATGAACAGCCAGGCTGATAGTAAAAGGAGCCTCCCCAAGTTGGAGTATTTTTGTTAAATCCTAGTACAAAAAAAAAAAAAAAGTACTAAAAGCCCATCTGGTGAGATGATAATTCATTAAGTGAAAAGAAGAGGCAGAAGGCTTGGGAAAATCGATCCTTTTCTTTCTTTGTCTCCTGTGTTTGAGTTATTGTGCAATCACAGTGATATAAGTCTGGATTTTGAATAGTGCAGAGTGGCGGAAAACCCGTGGAACGTTCCGGGCATGTTTTAATAATGTCTTTGCAACAAGGATGGTGTCCTGCAGCTGTGATGTCAGTGAACTGATGTGCTGTTTGGAGTGGTCTTTAGAATTAGCAGGAGACAGAGTGGGGAGGGTCAGGAGATGAGGACTCTGTGCTGGAGGAAGGAGCTAGACTCCAGGAAACTCCTCATTCTTCCTGAGCTGCTGTGACACACCCTCAGGGTGGCACACCCTCCCTGGAGTCCAGCTCAGCCCACAGACTTGTGGAAGGAGAACCAGGGCCCAGGCCTCTCCTGTGAGGAGTGGATGCAGCGCTTCCGTTTGTCAGCCACCTTGGGAAGAAAAGCTGAAGGCTTAGAGCTTTGTACACGTGACCTGGGAACCCACTGAGCTCATGGACCCTCATCACATCCTCGAAGACCACCGAGGTTTGGCTGTCTTTTTCGTAAATTTGGCATGTGTGTTATCTGGGGTGGGCTGTGCATTTAAAGATGAGGAGAGCTGCAGGGATTTATCCATTGGTTAAAATAGTTGTGCACTTATTATATTAACCCTTGAGGTTAATACAAACACATGCTTGTATAATATGCATATGTTATATACTAACATACTTATGTGCTGTGCTAAGTTGCTTCAGTCGTGTCCAACTCTTTGCAACCCTGTGGACTATAGCCCTCCAGGCTCCTCTGTCCATGAGATTCTCCAGGTAAGATTACTGGAGTGGGTTGCCATTTCCTTGATCTTCCTGACCCAGGGATCGAACCTGAGTCTTTTATGTCTCCTGCATTGGCAGGCAGATTCCTTACCATTGCAGGTGGGTTCTTTACCACTATTTAAGCATATTTATAAATATTATTCTTTACTACACTTTAAACATTTATAAATATCATTAGAATGGGACTTTAAAAAATGGACATGACTATTATGTAGCAGGAGTCCAGCTCCATTAAATTAAATTTGGCTAGGTTGGTCTGTTGGAGGACATTGGGAGTCCTCAGTGACTGTGAGTGAGAATCTGTGACCCGCACTTCTGCTTATGTATTCTTTCCCTCATATCCCCCATCTCCATGCCAGTATGTCTGTATTAACATAGCTTTGAGGTGAATTCTTCCATCTCCTTATGTTATGCTGTTTTTGTCTGCATAGATTGGGCACACTGGACACTTTGTTTGAGCTAGGTGTTGGCTTAAAAAATATTCACAACCTAAGAGCTGAGAGTTATGTTTTATTCAGTGGAAATTTTTAAGACTTCAATACTAGGAGGCAGCATCTCAAGTAACCCTGCGAGAACTTCTCCAAGGAGGCAAGGGGAGGAACCAAGTTATATAGCAGTTTTGCAGCAAAAGACAGGTAGTCTGAACATGAAAAATTATTGCTAATTAAAGAAAACTAGATACCCCAGCTTAAGGAATTTAGCACCTTTATTTGTGTGGGAAGGTACAAGAGTCTGGGCTCACTGAAATCATTCCTTTCATATGCACCTCGGCGATCTGGGGCCAGTAGCCTGTGTTTTTCACATCCTGAGCTTCCTTGGGGCTCACCGTAGGGAGTGGCTGCAGTCTGATGGCTGCTAGGTGGCAGGTATTCTCCTTGCTGAGTGCCCTCAGGGCTCACCAGCTCACATTGGAGGGCTGTACTCACTGATGGCTGTGATGTCCTTATTTACTGATCATTTTCATAGGGATGCTGTCCCTAGGATGCTTCCCCTACAGTTGTGCTTTATGAGACCGTGGGTACCCTGGGGAGAATGGCTTCAGGAGGACCCAGCTCCCCTGCTTAGCATCCCCAGGGACCCACAGCCAGCGCCACAGCCTCAGAGGCATCCCAAGGCGATCTTTCTGGCTGCTGTGTTGAAACCAGCAGACCCTATCAATTCATGCTGATTCTTTTGATGCTAGACCTTAGAATAAGTGATCGTAACTTCTTTTGGCTTCTGGAGAGTAGACTGTCAGGTAATCAATCCCATGTAAGGCAGAAACGCTTTGTACCTCCCACCTTTACTTTTGAAGACTCCGCTCTCCTCTGTTTACCAGGACCTCCGGTGAGCTCAAGTTTGCCTTCCTCTAGGTCTAGGGAGCCAAGGCATGCCCCACTTCACATGTGCGCACTCACTGAGAGGTACAAAGGAACTGAATGTTGGCATACTCTGTAACTGATGAATAATTCATGGGGGCTTTCTGTGCCATAAAATTTCCTCCTGTAAATGAACATTATTTAGAAAGACAATGCTGACTGAAAAATCTGGAAATGTGGCATCATGTTCTTTAATGATCTGCCTTCAACATTTACTGGGAAGGCAAAAGTTGACAAACATCAGAATAATTAAACTGAAAGCTGACAATGGCCTTGGGTGGGCAGTAAGCCAACAACTTAGTCACAGCTTTTTCTTCCCCAGTTCAGTCTAAAGTGTAACATCACCTGATGTTTACAAAAGGCCTCTGGATTCTTTGGCACTCTCTGGGCTTTCTTTGAAGATATAATCTGAATGTTAATGATAATACTGTACATATTAATTAGTTTTAACAGAGTACTGATATTTAGCATTGGAAACTATGATTCGATGGCTTTTCTTAACTGAAACGGGTCTTAGATATAAAACTAGACTGTCTCAAGATGTCTATATTTCTCTATTTGAATAAATTTGAAACCCTCTGTTTTCCTTGCACTGTAAAAAGGGTAGGTTTTAATTTTGATTTCCAGGAAAGATAGGGAAGGTTTTGGAAAACCTTACATGACAGAGAGATTATAAACAGACTAAGTTTATAGCAGAATAAGTCATGTCAGATTATATTTTTAGTGGTCACCAGAAAGAAAAAGAAATTTTCTTTTAAAAGAATTTAATTTTTTCTTTTTTACATTTTTCCTGCTCCCCTCCTTTCCATGGTATATTTTTAATGCATTTGGAATCTTTCCACTTGCTACTGGCTGGACTCTACAGAGAGTGTATCCCCAGAACCCTCAACAGTTGACTTGAATCTCAGTCATAATTAAATTGGAAGTTGGCAAATTATTCTGAGGCTTAAAAAGAGGCACACATTATGTTTCTAACTAGGAGTTTCACTACTCTGCTTTGTTTTAAAAGTACTCTCCATAGGGAATATTAACAGTATTTTTAGTGACTTTTTGAGAAAGTAGAAGGGTGTTTTGAAAGGATATCTAATAAACATGTTTGACTATGCTTAAATTTGGTATCTTACCTGGTAGCTGGGTTCCGATGCTTTAAAACAACCAGGTTTTCAACTCCTCATCCTTCCCTCTTTAATGAGTGCAGCACCCTGGCCTCTCCTGGCTCATCCTGAAAAAGCATCAACTACTAGGAGGACTGTTGATATTAAGACTCTGATACAGCGATTTACTATCTTCTGCACTAAAGGATATGCTGAGAGCTAGTGTTTGCCTACAATTAACAGTCATTTGGGCATCTGAGCCACCCAGCCTCTCTTTTATATTAAAATCTGACTGCTGACACAGACTTCTCCATCACCTAACATACTTCAAAGGTTGGGGTCAGAGTCAGGATATTAATTCAGAATATAGAGATTTAACAAGACATCTCTAAATGCAATGCATTTCCAGAAAGGCGGAGGTGGGGGGAGGTTATGGAAATGCAGTGTGTTGACTGGCACTCCTTTTAGATTCCCTGTGAGACAGTGGAGTGCTGGGAGGTTTTACTGCATCAAGTGAAAGTGTTAGTCGCTCAGTTGTATTTGACTCTGCGACCCCATGGGCTGTAGCTCACCAAGCTCCTCTGTCCATGAAATTTTCCAGGCAAGAATACTGGAGTGGGTAGCCATTCCCTTCTCCAGGGTATCTTCCCAGCCCAAGGATTGAACCCGGGCCTCCTGCATTGCAGCAGATTCTTTACCATCTGAGCCAACAGGGAAGCCCATTTTCTGCTTTAAGAGGTAATCAATAGCTGCCATAATGAATGAGCTCTGTCAAGGTCGGTAGCCAGTGGGTCCATTAGAGCATGACTTTGCCAGAGATGTGCCTGAGCAGTGGGAGCAGACCCAGGAGCTCTGACTGTTGAGTTTATAAAGCTTTCAGTGATAAACTGTGCCCTGAGGATTTCTGTCTGAGTCCCAGCTCCCCCGCAGTCACTGTTCACAGGCTCCCTGGGCTTGTGATCATACCTCAAATCTCAAAGATCTGAGTGGAATAGAAACTCCCCAAGCCTGGTATTACTTTTCTTTATAATACTTTGCAGGGGACCCATACCTCACGTGAGGCATGAATGGAAGTGGCAGAAATACTAGGTGAAGTGTGGCACACAGTGCCCTGGGAAAATCTCAGGGTGTTAGCAGAGTGGTATTATTTAGTGGAAACACATCTTTATGGATTATTTTTATGTTGTTTTTTAATTGTAAAGTATTTATTCATTTGTATTTTTATTTTTTGGCCATGCCATGTTGGGGTGGGGGATCTTAGTTCCCCACCCAGGGTTTGAACCTGCGCCCTCTACATTGGGAGTTTGGAGTCTTACCACTGGACCACCAGGAAAGTCCCTCCATGGACTATTTTTAAATGGTTTAAATAGTCCATTTTGTCTATTTTTCATATACACTGCATAGTTCAAATGCACACACAGATTCATGGATTTCATTAGTCACTTCACTTTGGAGGCTCCTGGCCTCACCCATGTCTTGACTTACTTTTTTGACTTTGAAGGCACCCTCACTGTAACAGTCTGTCACTAATTGGCAGTTTCATCAGGTAGGATCTGCAGATGTGTCCTAGAGCCCTCTCTTCATTTGGCATTAGAGTGGCCCATTAGCCTTCTGTTTGTCATCATTAATTTACTAGACATCTTTCAGCAGGTGGCAGGCACTGTGCTAGGTATTGTTCAAAACAAATCTCTGTCATTTAGAATTTGTAGTCTTGGAAGTACCACTGGCAGGTGTGTGCCAAAGGTGGGGTGGGCAGCTAACCAACATGAGAAGTTAGTAAGGGCCAGGGCCAGGTGAAGAATATCGGTATTGGAATATAAAATGTAAGACGATGTAGTTACCTAAGGGATGTAAATTAGAGTAGCCAGTATGAAAAACAGTATGGAGGGTCCTTAAAAAACTAAAAATACCACTACCATGTGAGCCAGCACTCCCACTCCTGGGCATATATCTGGAAATGATGAAAACTCTCATTTGAAAAGATACTGGCACCCCAGCATTCATAGCACCACTATTTACAGTTGCCAAAACCTGGAAGCAACCTAAGTGTCCATCAATAGATAAATGGATAAAGAAGACAGAGAATGAGATGGTTGGATGGCATCACTGACTCGATGGACGTGAGTTTGAACAAGCTCTGGGAGTTGGTGATGGACAGGGAAGCCTGGCGTACTGCAGTCCATGGGGTCACAAAGAATTGGACATGACTGAGTGACTGAACTGATACACACACACACACACACACACACACACACACACAC